GAGCCGAAGGCAGCCGCTTAACCGACTGAGCCACCCAAGCGCCCCCATCATCCTGTTTTCTAAAGCAAACAATCCGTTTGTACCTGTTTGTACGTGGTTAGAGTTATATGACATGGAAGAATACAGAACGGGCTGTGGGGAAGGATTCCCTGAGAGCACAAGGGGTAAGGGCATGATGCAGGGTAAAAGGGAGGAGGGAGGCAAGTTAAAGAAAAAAAATTTTAAGAACAAGCTAAAAAAATAAATAGGATATAATCGCATTTATGTGAAATTGTTTATGTGGAGAACTTCAGGTCTCAGCTTATCTGCCCCTTCCTCTGACCAGTGCCCCAACTCAGGCTCCCTTGGCAGTAGCCCCAGAATGTAAAAAGAAAAGTAAGCAATTTCCCCCTGGCTGAGGCACAGAAAGAAGGGATCAGATGGGCTGGGGCTGGGGCTGGGCAGGCAGAACGGTGCTGGTGAGGCAGGGTAGCGCTGCTACAGTGCGCCTGGAGCACAACGGCCCTCTCTGGTCAAATCTCCAGATTGCACTAGCTAATTCCATGCCCACCCCAGGGGCTGGCAGCCCTTCAGCCAGTGTCCCCCAACCCATTCCCCCGCCAGCAGCCTGGCAGTCTCTCCACATCTGTGCTGTCCAGTCCCAGCTGTTACTGAGGGTGGGGCTGGAGAGTGGAAGGGGGAATGGGCAGGGCTGTGCCAGGTCCCTGGTCCCCTTCCCTCCCCATGGGAGGGCATCCCATGATCTCACATCCCCAGCTAGAGCGGAGCTTGCCTGAGGCAGGAGCCATCTCCCGCACTGCTCCATGCCCTAAGGGCGCTCAGTAAATAATAGCTGGTTCCTGGACATGACTCCACCATGAGTAGTGGGAAGCCCTTGGTCAAGTCACCTCCCTGCCCAGGGCCTCAGTCTCCAGAGCTGTAAGGAGATGTGGAAAAGACCAGGCAAGAGGAGGAAAGGCAGATGCCCAGGACAGAATGAAGTTGAGTGTCTGTGCCCTACAGCAGTAGCTCCCTCGGCCCCCTCCGCTCCCCTCTGCCCTCAGCTCTCACTCACAGACCCTTTCCCGCCCCCCATCTCCCTTTCCAAATCACCAGAACCACAGCTGGAGGCACGCTGGAGCTCAGTAAACTCCCCAGAAACGCTCCAGAAGCCACTTTGGAAAAACCCTCCCTGGCATGATCAACACAGGCTGGATTCCTGATTCGGCCTGGCTGTGTGAACTTGACGGTCGCTTGATCTCTCTGATCCTCCGTTCCCCCCCCATCTGTAAAGTGGGGGTATTACTAGGACCTACTTCAAGAGGTCTCTGTGAGGTCTGAATGAGTCAGTCCCGCCTGGGGAGGCGTTGTTTTTAACTGTTATTCATGGTGGTGACTGTGGGTCTCGTCACGCTAAGTCTAACTTCCCACCCCTGTCCCCACCCCCAGGCACCCCGGTGCACTGGACACACCACCCCTCCCATCAGCACCACTCAGAGTGCAGCCCACCAGGGTTCAGACAAAACATTGAGTGGGAAGCCGACTGTCACACAATTACAAAGGTTAATTGCAGGATTCAGCAACAAGAGGGAGGGAGCTTGGCCCCCTCATAAATACAGCTGATTAAAAAACAAGCATCATTTTGTAATTATGCCACTGATAGAAATGCATCAGGCCACTTAGCAGTTTTAGAGCAGGCGGAGAGGTTCGCCCAAGACGCACCTGCTACAGCCCCGCCCCCAGGGGCCTCCCTGTCCCCACCAGGCCTCCAGAGCCTCACCCAGGGCTGCACGTTCTTCAAAAGCAGCAAGTAGCCTTAGGCCTAGAAGAACGCCCATCCCTCCGCTCCCTGGAAGCAGTGCCTGCAGGAGCCCCCGAGAAGTCAATTAACAGCATCTGGCTAATTAAAGAGAGATGTTACATCTCACTCGTTGACTCAGTCAGAGCTGCAGTGGGAGCCTGGGAGAAGCGGCCCCCACATCCTAACCAGCTCCCCGTTTCATGTGGCCCTGGGGACACACAGCTTCTCTGATCCCTTTGAAAGTTGTGGTCCCACCAGCCCCAGATCAGGGGGCTGGGCCGCCCAGGGTAGGACAGCAGTTCAAAGCCAGCCCAGCGGGCATGGTGGGGTCCGGTTGGGATCGGGAATAATTAGGGCATTCCAGACCATAAGAATCAATAACATAATTAACAAATATTGTGCTATTCCTCAGAATCTTGCTACGAATTATGCTTTGATCATACAATGTTCTCTGACTGTTAATGACATGTAATGTTAATTACCGGAGAAAGGGAATGACTCCAAATGAAGACTTCCTTGGAGAATAATTAATATTCTTTAAGGAGTCGCAGAGCCTGGGAGGGGGGCTTTTTCCCCCAGTTTGGTGACTTAGGAACCTCAGGAAGCCCACCCTCCTTGTCCATGGGTGGGCGGATACTATCCCTTATGAAGACAGTGACTCGCACATAGTAGGCACGCTATTAAGACTTATTAGCAAGATGGATCAGTGGATGATGAGGCTCACCTGGAAGTCTGCTGGAATCTTAGGGTATGGAGGCAAGAACATAATCGAGGCACTCTTTATTCAAATGGGGCCCTTGTCAGCAATGCCGGTGGGATAAAAACTCAGGTGTCAGATGATCAGTCCCATCCGCTTTCTACCACCATCACCTTGCTTGATTTGGGTGCAAGTTAGGAAAGATTCAAGGGACAAGGAAGGAATGTCTTGGGGGTTGGGGAGGTACTCTTTTTGCCTTGAAATGCATTGGGAATATTTCAGGAGTGTCCAGCCTCACACCTTTGACTTACTTGGAATTCCATGCACAGGAATGAAATGTCCCAATCAAATGAGACACCTCCCAAAACATAGGCTCCCTGCTGGGAAGCCACACAACCCTGACCAAAGTCCCCAGAGAAAGGTCTCCTGCCCCTCAGACTCCTCCACCTCCGGAAGGGAGGACAGAAGGGAGGAGCCAGCACCTCCCTCCTCCTCAGCATCCACAAACCGTCACTGCCTTGTCTCTGCACTGGAGCTGAGTCCCCTGGAAGAACCAAGGTCTCACTATCCAGACTGAGCTCTACTAGAGGGAAGGCGGGAAGCTGGGGCAGACAACCCTAGATCAGCCCATCCGGACCCTGCCTTCAGGTCCTGCTGTGCCACCAGTCATGGGCAGAGCCCTCCCCTCCTTGGGTCTGGGTTTCTTAATCTGTCACGAGAGCTCACCACTCCCAGATCATCACTTTCCTTCCAGGCTGATATCTTCGGATTCTAAAGCAATGGGAGAAATCTCGACTTCCTAGTATTCTGAGGAGCCCTCAGCTTCCCACCCCTTCACCCTCAGAAGTTCCTTACGCCCTACAGTCAATGCCTCTCACAGAGAGAATGGGTCATTAGGTCTGGTGCACCCCCTCACCCCCTGTTTCCAGCAGAGAACAGCTCCTAGCAGCTATGGAAGAATCATCCCAGGGGCACCTGGGTGGCTCAGTTGGTTAAGCGACTGCCTTCGGCTCAGGTCATGATCCTGGAGTCCCTGGATCGAGTCCCGCATCGGGCTCCCTGCTCGGCGGGGAGCCTGCTTCTCGCTCTCCCACTCCCCCCTGCTTATGTTCCCTCTCTCGCTGTGTCTTTCTCTGTCAAATAAATAAATAAAATCTTTAAAAAAAAAAAAAGAATCATCCCAGCTCAGGGAGCCCCAGCCCCTTTCCCCCTTCTCTCTGGGGGCCAGGGGGAACAGCTCTGAGCTCCATCCACAGTAGGAAGGAGAGCAGACTCTGGGAGGGTAGGATAAAAGGTGGGACTCCCTCTCTACCCCATTGCTGCCCAGATGCTCTTCAGTACCTGGCTCCTCCTGGATGCAGGGTGGAGGTGAGGGGAGTGCAGGCAGATGCTGCTGCAGGGACCCCCTCACTCTCCCACCTGCCTGCTCCAGCTTCCGAGGCCCAGCCTTGGCAGCCCCCTGCCTTGCCTGGGACCTTTGCTCCAGGATACCCAGCTCTGCAGCACCACCTTGCCCAGCTTGGGCACCACCGGACCCCCAGGAAGCACGGGCCTATCGCCAGGGATGGTGAGGTAGTGACTGGTGACTGACCTATGCCTCAGAATCTCCAGTTGTTCCATAAAAAGCCACTTCAGTTTCAAGTCACACCCTTCCCTTCAATGCATCTTTAGTGCTCTCATGGGGGTAGAAAGTGCATGAAAGAAGGTTCCTATTTTTCAGAGACAAAATAAAGACACAAAAAGCAGGGACGGCTCACTGCAGGAGCTAGGACTGGAGCCGGGACCTCCCCTCCTTTGCCTCCCCACCTCCACCAGATTCCGGACTTTTCTTTGCTGTGTAAATCACCTCCCAGAACCACATTCCAAGGCGGAGAAAATAGAAATTATTCTGCACTTGGTTACTCAGGAGCCTGGGCTTACCCCTGACACCTGAAGGGCCCTGCCTGGAACACTCTTGAGGGCAGGGCAGGGCTCATCCTCCCCAAACCCTTGCTCCTCCATCCAGCGGGGGCCTCACTGTGCTTCTTTCTGGACTATCTTGTGTTTGAAGTTCCAAGTCTCCACTGGGTTCCGGAAATCTCCCCTCTTGACAGGAGAATGCAGAGACCACGGGAGCACATTTCTGTCATTACAGGCAGCTGTGACCCAGAGCCCAGGGCATGAGCCCCTCAGGACGAGGCTGTGGCAGGAGGCCCAGGCCTCAGAGGAAGCCTCCGCCCCCAGCTAAAGCCTCCACCTGCTCACAGGCACATCCTCTTAGAAAGTGCGCATACCGCCCACGACAATCCCCTGCCTGGATCGTGCTCCCACCTTTCCTCTGCTTCCCTTCTCCCCCTGGATGCCCTCTCTGGCCCTAGGTCCCCTTCACGCACCCTCCTCAGTCCTCTGACGGAGAGCCCCTAGCACGCCAGATCGTCCTTCCACACTCATTCCTTGTCACTCCCCGCCCAGGCTCCCCACTCTTCAGGGGAAGAGGCCCAGGTTTACGTGGCTTCCACATCCCCCACAGCATTGACATCTTACTTGGAGCTGACCAGGTGATCGATAAAAGCTCTTTAGTGGATGGGCTCATGGGCAGAGTCAGGCAGGTTCTCCTTGGCATGATGAAATGCTCATGAAAGAAACCAGCTCCAACTCATGGCGTGATTCAAAGAACTTCCTGCTCTCTTTGGCTCCCCCAGGTCAGAGAGCCACTTCACACCGGGTTCTGCAGGAAGCGCCTGGAGAATGAAGAAGTAATGGGTCTGGGGCTTTGGGATCAGGAGACTGGCCTCAAACTCTGGCTCCATTTTCCTCCCGCGCTCCCTGAGCAATCTGCGGCTCCCCTCCAAGCCTCGGTCCCCTCACCTGGCAGGGTGGCAGATAGGGTCACAAGAGCTCAGGCATATTCAGCACCTGGCACAGGGCCTGACCCATGAAGGTGCTCCCTAAATACCAGCTCCCCACATCCTCCCACTGGGTGGCTCTGGGTTCCAATCCAGGCCCCAGTGACAGGTATCAGCAGCTCAGGGGAGTGATGCACGGGGCCCTGCCAACCCCAAGGGTGCCCCCCTCACCGCCCCGGGGCTGGGCAGCCCACCAGCTCCCGGGTGGCCTGCTTCTCCAAAGGCAGGTGAAAACCCCTGCGTAGACCGACACCGGCAATGAGCAGCTTCGCTCGAGTCAGGCGGCCCCGCAGCGCCAGCAGGCGTGGCTGAAGTAAATGATAGTGTAACCCTTGCTACCCGAAACAACAACATCATAACTGTCAGAGCAATTTTCCACCTCAGTAGTTTAACACCTGAGCTGTTGCTGCGCTCCCTTCTGCCGCCTCTGCTCGCTCATGCTGGGGCGCACTCCTCCTCTCCCACCGCAGTCAGCCCCTCTACGAGCCAGCCCTTCCAGAAGCCACGGCAAACAGTACTTGGCCCCAGGAGCCAAGGCGCTGCAGAGTGAATCAGCACACGGAGTCTTCAGAGAAGAGAGGAAAGGAAAAGCGCACAAGCTCAAATACCCGATCCAACATCTGTCAACATCTGGGTTATAAGTAACCCAGGGATTTAACAGGGATCCCAGCATGAGACTGCTTCTGACTCCCTGTCATGAAGATGCAGTTATTAATTTTTATTTACTGGGACCGTACTATTTTCCTAGAATCAGAAGCAAAGTGTGGGGGCTAGGTAAGAGCCAGAGGCACCTCTAAAATGCTGCCTGCCTATCGGGACCCGCACTGGTGTGACGGTCAAAATCTTTAATAGCTGGCGGGGCAGAGGGGCTTCGGGGCCAGGACGTACTCCTCTAAGTTGATGGATCTTGGTGTGGTCTCAGTGGGGGTGGATCCCAGGGGAGAGGATGGGGTGGCAGAGAGGCAGCCTTCGGGCAACCTGGGGAAGCAGCTCAGCTATTTACCAATCAGTATGGAAGGAGTGCAGTATTTTAACAACCATTACACACACACACACACACACTTTCCTTCCCTGGTTACTCCAGCAGAAACTCCCCCCTGTCTTTCCCCAGGGAAGCATCAAGTTCTCTGACAGCCAGCAAGATCCCCTTCGGGGGAAACCGAGGGCCAAATTAGATTCACAGAGTCAGAATGTTAGATCTGGAAAGGGTCATTGAGAGGATCTTGTCCAAACCTAGGGTTGGCAGATGTGTAAACTGAGACTCCTCAAGGTCACTCTGGGACTTGAGGGCAGGGCCTGTAGGGGCCCCTGGCCCGCTCGGTGCTCATGGGTCTGGCTCTGTCACCAGAGCCAAGCCCCAGGCCCGCAGGTCACTGTGCTGGGCAGTAACCAGGCGGGCGGAGCATGCACAGTGATGCCCACCCTCCTGGGTTAGGGCTCGGACACAGGACCAGGAGGGAGAGCCCCTCGCTAAAGAATTTGCCCATATCTGCCTTGGGGTGAGCACAGGGGGAGTGGGCAGGAAAAAGGCTGGGCAGACCCTAAGACACAGGGCTTTATGAGCCTGGAAGAAAGCACCCCCCACCCCCCAAATTCAGGATGTGATGCAAACAGAGGTTAAGGGCCAGGAGTCAGATATTCACACCCTTGCTGATCTCCTCCAGTCTCATGGCCTTAAGGAACATCTATTAGACACAGATCACTCCCAAATTTCTAATTTTAGCCTGGGCTGTGCCCATGAATTCCAGACGTTGTTTCCACCTTCCTACTCAATCTCCCTACGTGGATGTCTAGTTGATGGCTCAAATTCAACACGCCCCAATCTGATCTCCCCCCGAAAGCCTGCCCCTCCTACTTGGGAGTCACCCTTGATTCTTCTCATCACCCCTCACCTGGCAATAGCCTCCTCACGGTCCTCCTGTTTCCACTCTTGCCCTTGACCCTATGACTTGCTTTCATGGTGAATGCAGCTCTTCCAAGCAAGTGGTGGGAAAGGGTGATGGGGCCCCAGAGTGGACCCCACCACCTGAGCCAGGACTTGCTTTTTCCCACCTGGGGGAAGCCGCTGGGGCAGTAGTCAGGGAAGGAAATGCTGATGCATCAAGGAGTCTTAATGCCTATGTCTGCATTTGGGTCAACCACCCTTCCCACAGGCTGGTTCCAGGGTACTTTGTGGAATGTTCTGGCAGCTCCCGGCCCCTTCCCACAGGCTGGTTCCAGGGTACTTTGCGGAATGTTCTGGCAGCTCCCGGCCCCTTCTCACACGCTGGTTCCATGGTAGTCTATGGAATGTTCTGGCAGCTCCCGGCCCCTTCCCATATGCTGGGAAGGACTCCCAGAGTCCTGGTTGGAAGGGTGCTCAGAGGCCCTGAACCACCTCTCTGCCCAGTATGTGGATCTTTTCACAGCAGCCCTGGGAGGGACCCAGCAGCCAGGACTCTGCACCTCCATGGCCAGAAACTCCCATGCCTTTGCCAGTTCTGACCGCTCCCAGCCCCTTCCCACACGCTGGTTCCACGGGACTTTGTGGAATGTTCTGGCAGCTCCTGGCCCCTTCCCACATGCTGGTTCCACGGTACTTTGTGGAATATTCTGGCAGCTCCTGGCCCCTTCCCACACTCTGGTTCCACGGTACTTTGTGGAATGTTCTGGCTGGTTCCACGGTACATTGTGGAATGTTCTGACTGCTCCCAGCCCCTTCCCACACGCTGGTTCCACGGTACTTTGTGGAATGTTCTGGCAGCTCCCGGCCCCTTCCCACAGGCTGGTTCCAGGGTACTTTGTGGAATGTTCTGGCAGCTCCCGGCCCCTTCCCACAGGCTGGTTCCAGGGTACTTTGTGGAATGTTCTGGCAGCTCCCGGCCCCTTCCCACAGGCTGGTTCCAGGGTACTTTATGGAATGTTCTGGCAGCTCCCGGCCCCTTCTCACACGCTGGTTCCATGGTAGTCTATGGAATGTTCTGGCAGCTCCCGGCCCCTTCTCACACGCTGGTTCCACGGTACTTTGTGGAATGTTCTGGCAGCTCCCGGCCCCTTCCCACAGGCTGGTTCCAGGGTACTTTGTGGAATGTTCTGGCAGCTCCCGGCCCCTTCTCACACGCTGGTTCCATGGTAGTCTATGGAATGTTCTGGCAGCTCCCGGCCCCTTCCCACATGCTGGTTCCAGGGTACTTTGTGGAATGTTCTGGCAGCTCCCGGCCCCTTCTCACATGCTGGTTCCACGGTACTTTGTGGAATGTTCTGACTGCTCCCAGCCCCTTCCCACACGCTGGTTCCACGGTACTTTGTGGAATGTTCTGGCTGCTCCCACCCCCTTCCCACACGCTGGTTCCACGGGACTTTGTGGAATGTTCTGGCAGCTCCCGGCCCCTTCCCACAGGCTGGTTCCACAGTACTTCATGGAATGTTCATGACAAACACCAGTCTCTTTCTCAGCAGCACAGCCTCAGTGTAGGGCTTCAAATCGCAAAATGAGAGCAGCCAGCAAGCTCTCCGCAGCAGTTTGTGAATCGTTGGTTCCTCTTGCCCCCTTCAGTGAGCCTCCTCTTCCATGCCCCAGGTCCCTTGCAGAGACAGACATGGTTGGTGGCCTGGGCTCTGCCACCTCTCCCTATGTCAGGCCGGGGCAGAGCCTGGTCCCCGAGGGGAGGAAGATGCTGATTCCTGCATCAAGGCTCCTGCTAGCTCCTCTGTTTGGGAGTCTTTGGGCCTCTATAGCTGTGCACCCCATCCCGGTCCCCTTCTCATTCCCTCTGCCTTTATTAACCTTTGCTATTAAATAAAACAGGAAATTCAAGTCTTCCCTGGTCCAAGGAACTCACCGTGGGCCATAACAGCCTCCAGGGCCTGAGCCTGAGCCCACCTCTGTCGAAATCAGGGCATCCCAGACATGGGTGGTATCTAAGCTGAGAGGACATCCCCATCACAGTCCAATTCCCTGAACACCCAGAGAAGAGAGCTCAGCAAGAGGAAATGACTCGCCCAAGGTCACTGAGCCAGTGTGAAACCCCTCTGGGCCCCAGCCCCGTCCTTTCCCACGAGGCCCTGAGAGCCTTCCAGCATGAGCTCCTGCACCTCGAGGCTCTGTCCCTTCCTCCCACGCCACACGTCTGGGGAAAGCCCAGACCCTGAGCCAGACCCCCAGTCCTCCCAGACCCCGTGACTGTAGGAAAGTCCTTTTACCTCTTGAATGCTTACAACTCCCCATCCGTAGAAACGAAGCCAACATCTCCCTCACAAATTTTAGAGGGAATATCTGGGATGGAAGACGTGCGAATAGCACTGAATCAGAACATATATGGCTTTCCCACATCCTACAGGGACGAAGGATCGCTATAGAAATAATGACATCTCCATGGCCAAACGCTGCCACCCGACCTCCTCACTCCTCAAGGGAGCCACCCTATCCACTGTCCCCTCTCCTGATCACTTCTGGCAGAATGGTATTAACCCTTGAATGAGAAAACAAAAAACAAACAAACAAAAACTTCTGCCTTAATTAGTCAAAGTGAGTGAGGAAGCGTAAGTGTCCCCATGAACGTCACCTCACATCCATGTGTGTGTCACAGAGCTACAAGAGGGGCATCATGGGAAATCAACCCCGAGATGGGGTGGGGGCGGACCTTCTACACACAAGGCTTTGTGCCCGGTGTTCTCTCTAGCCCCACCAGCGTCGCCAGCCCCCATCCTACGGCAGCCCTGGGTCCGGAACCTCCTCATCCTTGCCCCCATCAGCTGCACTAATGTCACTCAGGGAGGACACATTGTTGGAAGCCCTTAAGCAGGACTCCCAGCCCCCTAGCACCTGTCCCGCAGACGCCTGACAGAGGAAGATAAATATATTTATAATACACAGCAAAGTGAATAACAAAGAATTCATAGAGTTGTCTCTGACAAAGCTGACAAGCCGGGGCTGACTGCTTTAATCAGTTCCCAGCTGAGCCCAGGAAATGATGTACAGGAGCATAGCTCTGACCTTTTGGACCGATTTCTAAAGGGAGGGTTAAAGTTTTGCTGCGAAGTATGGGGCTTTTTTTCTATTATTTTAAAGAAAAGAGGGGCGTGAGGTTGTATGTGCACGGCAACCTCCGAGGTGGTAATGGGAACACGGGAATAGGATTTTATTTTAAATGAATCCCCAGATGCCCCTCCCGCCGCGGCCTCTCTGAAATGTTCTGCTCCCTGGGTGAGGCGCTGGAAACGCTCGCTGCTGTGAACCACTTGCAGCCGAGCTGGAAATGCATGTGGCTGCAGAGTCCCAAGATTCATATTTGATAAATACGTGGCCAGAAGAGGGACTAAATATTGAAATTGTCTCTTTTAAGCCCTGCCTCGTTTTCGGCCGCCGAACCAGAAGGACTATCGGGGACATCCACGTGTCCGGAGTGGGGGTCCCCATGCGTGTTCCTCGCAGCACCAATAGTCAGAAGCTTCGTGTGGAAGCTAAGGAAATTTGGTTTAACTGCAGCCAACCATTCCAAGTTTTCCTTCTCCAAAGGCAGGCTTCACACAAACACAGTCCCCCCTACCGGGCAGATGGAACCATCAGGACCCAGCCTCAGAGCAGCTTCCTCAAAGCCCGCCCACTTGCCTCTTGGGCTGAGAACAGAACTTGGAGGTGCCAGGTCCCAGCAACAGCTGCTTGCCTGGGGCACAGACAGCCGTTGGCACCCCACCTCTGGGTCGGGGTCCCAAAACTGGCTGCACATCAGAATCACCTGGGGTAGCATGGGAGAAAAGAGATCTAGAAGACACAGGTTCCTGGGCCCCCACCAGGCCCCACTGAAGGGAATCTCTAAGGATGCAACCCAGGAAGCCAGATTGTTTTTAAGTTTCTCCAGGATCCTAATAAGCAGCCAAGCTTGGGAAGCATGGGCCACATCAGCTCTGATAAGGTGAACAGCGAAAGGTCACTGCTCCTCAAATATTTCCTTCACCTTGGGTGCCTGAAACTGCCCTCTCAGGGAGAGGCCCATTTCTATAGTGCCCCCCACTCAGGCATGAACCCACATTTTAAAACGGGCCAGACAACCAGCTCCGGGTTCAACTTAAGTATTTCTAAGTCCTCCACCCTGTGGCTTCTGAACTCTGCGTTTTCAGACAAGCCTAGATTGCATCTCTCCTATCAGAATGGGAGAAAAAAACTGCAAACCATATATTTGATAAAGGGTTAATATCCAAAATATATAAGGAACTCCTACAACTCAATAGCAAAAGAACAAATAATCCAATTATAAAATGGGCAAAGGACCAGCATGGACCCTTTTCCAGAGAAGACATCCAGATGGCCAACAGAGACATGAAAAGCTGCTCACCATCACTCATCATCAGGGAAATGCAAATCACAACCACAAGGAGCTATCATCTCACACCTGTCAGAATGGCTAGCATCAAAGAGACAAGAGCTAACAGGTGCTGGCGAGGATGTAGAGAGAGGGGGATCCCTCATGAGCTGCTGGTGGGAATGCAAATTGGTGCAGCCAGTGCGGGAAACAGTATGGAGATTCCTCAAAAAATTAAAAACAGAACTACCATACGATCTAGCAATTCCACTTGTGGGTATTTATCCAAAGAAAATAAAACCACTACCGTGAAGAGGTAACTGCACCCCATGTTCATTGCAGCATTATTTACAATAGCTGACACATGGAAACACCTAAGTGTCCACTGACAGATGAATGGATATATATATATATATATCCATATATATATATGGCAAGGAGCCTGGGAGAGCATCAGCATTGAAATGGCAGTAAAGGGGACAGCAGGGAGCTGGTGAATCAGAGACTCACAGAATGCCCAGTGGATCCTGTCTTCCACCTGATGGCTGATGCCAGGCTGCGCCAGCATCCACGATGCCCATCCTGAAATACTTTTCTTCCCATCCTCCCCCCAGAGCTGTGCCCAGGAGCCCCAGAGCCCAGAGAAAGACCAAGAACCCCCAGGAATGAATGACCGATCTCCAGTCCTAAGGTCTGGGGCCCCATGTAAATGCTTTGAATCCGTTACTTGAGTTTGGGAGGTTTTTTTTGTTTTTAAAGATTTTATTTATTTATTTGTCAGAGAGAGGGAGAAAGAGAGAGCACAAGCAGGGGGAGCGGCAGGCAGAAGGAGACACAGGATCCTGCTGAGCAGGGAGCCCGATGTGGGAATCAATCCCAGGACCCTGAGATCATGACCTGAGCCGAAGGCAGAGGCTTAACCGACTAAGCCATCCAGGCATCCCATTACTTGGAGTTTGGAGGGGAAATCCTTCCAGGTTATTCAGCACCCTGACTTGGCCCAGAACTGTGGTCACTCTAGATACACCTTCTACACAACCACCCAGCCACCATCCCCCACACAGCTGGACCCTCAGTGACTTCACAGTACACAGGAGGATGAAGGGGAAGATTCAGGCCTGAGCCCCGGCTGCCATAGGGGACACAGTGACACTCTCACCAGATCACAAGGACAGACCTTGGGACATGGGTCTTCGTGTGATCATACCCTATGGGATCCTTTGGGGGAAGCAAGGTTCTGAGAAGATGGGGAGAGTTTTGGTGGAAAGGATTACCAGAGTCTCAGCTGAGCTGGGTTCTAGAGGGTTAGTCAAGGGAGGCCAGAGAGGCTCTAGGAGAGGACACAGTGGACACCATGGCCTGACGCCGGCTCTTTGCAGGTCAGACTAACCGCAATTCTTCTGGATTAGGAAAAGGCAAATCAGCGCAACAAATCTGAAAGATGTTCAATCTCTCTCACAATATGGTCATTCCCTCTCCCCTTTCTTCTTTGCTAATCGAACTCCAACTGGCTTATATGATAGATGGAGACCCTTACACCTCAGGAGGAGCACCAACCCCAAGGGATGAGTTAAGACTGGTGATCTCATCCCCCTTGGCTAGTGATTGGTGTAAGAATAGGCACATGTCACTGTTCTGGTAATAAAGTGTATCGAGAAGTCAGCTAGGACAACTCTCTGTTCTAAATAAAAGGACAAAACCTCCTGAGGAAAAGCCTTCCCTCTCTCCCAACTTCCTGACTGGAACATGGATAAGATGCCTGAGGGTGCAGCAGCCACTTTGGAGCCATGAGGCTACACGCCAACATGCAAAGGAGTAGTGGTAGTCAAAGTGGATAAAGCCTAGTTCTCCCTGTGGACCCCCTTTGCCAGCAGCAGATACTGAACCTCCAGAAAACTTGTTATGTGAGAAATAAATACCTCTATTTATTTAAAATACTCTAATTGGTGGGTGTAATTACTGATGCCATTCGTTCATTCATTCATTCAACAAGTATTTGTTGAGGGCCTACTACATACCAGGTACTGCCCAGACACTAAAGGGACACACACACATACACACATACACAAACACTCCTGTCCTAGAAGTGCCTGTACTCTACTGGGGAGACAGAGAGGATGAAGAAAATAAATAAGTGATATACGTGTTGTATGGCAATAAGCACTATGGCAAAAACTAAAGCAAGGAAGGGGGTACGGAATGTCAGAACTGGGAGACAGGTTACACTTGAAGCAGAGTGGTCTGGAAGACCTCACTGAACAGGTGATATTTGAGTACAGGCTGGGAGGAGGCGAGGGGGCCAGCCATGCAGGTGTTAGAGGAGGAATGTCCTAGGCAGAGGGAAGAGCAGTCTAATGCTTGCTGACCAGGAGAGCACTTCCCTCCTGAAGGCAGGCTCACAGCATGAGGTCAGAGGGCTAGACTCTTCAGCTTATTCCTCCATGACTTGGACAACCACCTAGAGCCCAGGCTCATGAGATCCTTGAGTCATATGTAAGCTGACGGAGCGGGATGAGGATCTCAAAAGCTCTTGACAGGCTGGAGCAATGAACGGGATGGGAGAAGATGAAACATAACAGGGATAAATGTAAGGGGCTTCACTCTTGATCTAAAATATCAACAGCACAGCTCTAGATGGGGAAACCCATGGCAGTCACGTGAGCAAAGGAAGCCCAGGAGCGTTCCGTGGTGGGAAATTCAACAGAAGAATGTGTTTGCTTGAAAAGCTAATAACATGATCTCCAAGTACTTCTTAATGGACATGTTTTAAATGAGCGTGCCAGCCCCTCTCTCCCTGCATCAGACCAAACGCCACTGGAAGCCAGAGTCTGAGCCAAAAAGACACACAAACTGGAATCTGCCCGGGGGTGTGAAGCCAGGCCCAGGAGCTCTAAAGATGCCCTCTCTGCAGAAAGACCTAGGGAGCTGGAGGAGTGGACGCTCAGATGGACATGCATCCCTTCTCCTACAGACATTTGGTGAGCACCTATCACGGGCGATCACTGTTGCTGGTTGTGGAATACGGCAGTGCCTCACAGCCCACCAAACCAGCGGCTTCCACACTTCAGAAAACAACCCACAAAAAGCAGTCCACTTGACACCATAAACCACTGGACACAAATACGTATAAGCATATATGTGTAAAACAAAGGCTCCACACAGCTCTATTTACCTTTACTACGCATGGGGTGATCGAATATTTTCTATTTTCCTATTTTTATTTTTTTAAGATTTTATTTATTTTTTTATTTAAGAGAGAGCATGAGCAAGAGAGCACAAGCAGGGGGAGGGGCAGGAGGGAGAGGGAGAAGCAGACTCCCCACTGAGCAGGGAGCCCGATGCGGGGCTCGATCCCAGGACCCCAGGATCATGACCTGAGCCGAAGGCAGAGGCAGATGCTTAACCGACTGAGCCACCCAGGCGCCCCTCTATTTTCCTATTTTTAGAAGGTGAGTTGGCATCCACTGAATTGATTCAATGACCCACTCCTGGCTGGCTACCAGCAATGTGGAAAACACAGAACCACATCATGATGAGTGTGGAACAAACAGAGTGCTGGGGGAACAAAGACCAGGAATTAGGATGGACCGTGCTGAGAAGTAAGGTTGGAGACCAGAGGAGGGACCAGAAGATAACCAGACAGTTTATAAAAAGAGAACAGCCTGGCGGGGGTGATGGTTAAATGTCAATGTACTTCCTGCCACTGAACACTGAATACTTAATAATGGAAAATAGTAAATTGTATGTAATGCCTAGTTTACCACAAATAAAAAATTATTTAGACTTAAAAAAGGGAGAATGAGGGGCGCCTGGGTGGCTCAGTCTGTTAAGCATCTGCCTTTGGCTCAAGTCATGATCCTGGAGTCCTGGGATCGAGTCCTGCATCAGGCTTCCTGTTCAGTGGGGAGCCTGCTTCTCCCTCTGCCCCTCGCCCTGCTCGTGCTCTCTTTCTCTCAAATATATCAAATATTTTTAAAAAGGGGGAAATGGCCTATAATCAGTGTCTTTAAATAATACTGAGCGGTAGCTTCAGGAATACTACGCAGCACCATACAAAGAACTACAGCCCCACAAGGCAATGCGGTGTTTTGCAGAGCACAAGAAGCAGACACAGAGCACCTCCCGCACGATTCCATTTATACAAGGGTCAAGAAGAAGCGACGACCGTCACCTCTGGGAGGGGAGACGGCATGGACTAAGAAGGAGCATGCAGAACCATCCAGGGTGAGCAAAGTATTCTCTATCTTGAGCAGCGTGGGAACCACCTAGGTGTATCCATTTGTAAAAGTTCATTGAGCTGTGCACTTAAGATTTATACACTTCACTGCTGGTAAGTTCTACCTCGGTAGGAAAGGAAATAAAGGGAAAAAAATGTCTAAAGGAAAGGAAATAAAAAAAAAAAGAAAGAAAGAAACATGATTGAGTCACTTCTTGGGTGGGGGTTAAGTTCAAAAGTCATCATGTAAGGGAAACATTGCATAGAGTCAAAATGACCCTTGCAAATCTCTTAAAGCACCCGTGGAGCGGGGTATAAAATTCACCACTGGCACATAATGTTTATACCCTCTACAGCTGGAAAAACACTAGGTTGGACAAAGGCTAGAACAGAGGGAACGTTGAGGCATGGATGCCAGAGCCTGTAGCCATCCACCTTTGCAGCAACTGTCACATCGTGTCAGGGAGCAGGGGAAAGAAAAATCTAGAGCCCTCTGCCCACCTATCCAGGCTTGTTTCACCCTGCTTTAATTCTAAGCAACTGTAACATGTTATGTTATAAAAAATTGATTTTTTTGTTGTTGTTGCAGTAAGAATTGAATGAACTGGGTTCTGAAGCCAGCAGAGAAGTCAAACAGAGCCATCACTCCATCTTCAGATTCCTTCTGTTTGGCCCCAAGGAAGAGAAATAAGCTGGAAACCCTCAGGAGATGGATTCCAGCTGAAGAGAAGCTCATCAACTGAAATGGAGCGGCTCTCCAAAGATGGATGGGCTGGGAGGCACTGAGTTCCCCATCAGCAGAAGGAATGCATAGGCTGAACACTTGCACCAGGTGACCTTTCCAGGCCCCTGCCAGCCTGGAGCTTCGGAGCTGGCCGGATCTCCTGGCTCCCTGTCCTGGGCACATCCCCTCTGCTCAGTGAGATGTGTTGCTGGCTAGAGGGACTTGCCAGGAACTCCAGGTGGCTGTCCTAATAGAGGATTGCTCAGCCGCCCCTGAGGATTTACAGCCTCCCTCCTGAGTTATGGGAAGGCGGGCGGAGCCCATAAAAAGGAGCCATCCAGGCAGTGCGGTACACGGGGCATCAATCAGCGACAGCCTGACCACTGGAGCAGAGGGAAGATCAGTCTGCTGGTTTCTCACCTATAAATTCTCCCCCCCCCACCCAACCCCACACAGGAGGAACAGATGTGTCGTATTTAAGAAAGCTCGTGCCACAGTTTTAATCCCAGGGATGCATGTGGGGGGTGTGGGAGAGTAAAGAGAAAGCAGCCCGAAATATGGCCTTCACCTGGACTCATCCCCCACCAGAGTCCCCAAACCCATCTCCCCCCAGTCCCACCCCTAAGCAAATGGTGCTGAAAGAGCAGATGAGAAAGGACCATATACCTAGGAGCAGGGCTGTTAGATGGGTAGGGGGCCCAGGGTGGCCTGAACAAGGCTAGAAATACCCAGGTGGAGCCATCACACCTACTTCTGAATGGACACCCTTCTTATGTCTTCTCTTGTAGTGACGGAAGGACTGAAGGTGGAAGTGCAATAGACAGAGAAGAGCCAACCCAGAGCTGAACCCAGAACTGCTGCACCGCACAACTCTGTCATATCACTGCCTGTGTGAATGGAATTATGCAGTACACAGCTTGGGTGGCTGTATATGGCAGTCCTACTGGACCTACGTGAAAGGTCTTTCTTCGGGAGGATGGGGTAGTGGCGAGAACACTAAACCAAGAGTTAGGGGAGCTGGGTTCAAGTTCTAGCTTCATCCCAGACTTGCCAAAGGCCCTGGGCAAGTACAGCTTTTCTCTGAGCCATATTTTCCACGCTTGTAAGATGGGGACAATAACTTCTGACCCACTGGATCTTTCTCACCAGGTCTGACACATCTCCTGTAGGCCTTGTGCAGTTTTGGACAGAGGGTAACTTCTATAGATTGGCCCTTCCAGAGTCCATTCAGACCCCAATCCCAGTTCTCAACCAGCCTTTACAAATTACCATCTTGCCTGGGGCACCTGGTGCCTTAGTTAAGCGTCTGACTCTTGATTTCAGCTCAGGTCAGGATCTCAGGGTTGTGAGATCGAGCCCTGAGTTGGGCTCCATGCTGGATGTGGATTCTGCTTAAGATTCTTTCTCTCCCTCGGCCTCTCCCCTCCCACCAAAAAAAAAAAAAAAAAGTACCATCCTGCCTTTCTAGGGGCCACACCTTTCTGGGACAGAACCTATAAGAGCGGACAGGATTTATAGCCATGCATAAGGTGCTCCATAATTTCTGAACTAAAAAGCAGTACATCTGTCTGACAACCAGAGAGAACATTTGGAATTGGAACTGTCCCAGGAACTCAGGGCCATCTGTTTGCGGGTCCCAGGCAGGTAATGGCAGCTGCTAACAGCTGGCACCCCCCGGGGAGAGGGGCTGGGGCAGGAGGTACGGCAGAGCCCCAGCAAGCTTTCCTGCTTTCCTTCCTGAACTCAGGTACCAACTGGCCGGGACATTTGGGAGAGCTGGCCACCTTCTCTGCGTGTGTGTGGACTCATCCTCTCAGACTAGGGTAACCCCTGGGGCCTTCCCCTCACAGCGCTTTAGAAACAATCTTTTTTTAAATCATAATTTTCCAAGCATGTGGGCTTAGGTGCTGAGGGAAATAAACACAAAGTGGAGCGGGATTGCTCAGGGGCCTGACTTAGCTATCTGGCCGAATCCCACCCCCACCACCCAAAATCCCCGGGGTCTTGAGCAGATTCTATAAACCTCCTGATCTTCTGGTCTGAAGGTAGTGTGAGGTTAAGAGAGTAGGTCAAGTTCCTGGCATGAGGTGGGTATCCACAGGGCAACTGACCTTGTCTAAAATCTTCAGGCCACTTTACTTTAGGAGATTAGGGATGGTGTTTACTTCCCAGGCAGCAAAAGGGAACGAGTCACCAACACCAGCACCAGAGAGAGAAAGGAACTTTTTTTTTTTTTTTTTAACCCTCTCTTTCTGTCCTTCCTTCGCCCTCCCTGTCCTATGACCCCTGGCCTCCGCAGCTCTCTCCAGTTGGGCCTAGGCCCTGGTCCCTTGGCAGCCCTGCTGGGGCTTCCCCCTGCCCTTCTCAGTCTCTGCTTCTCTGTCGCCCTTCCTTTTGCCTCTCTCTGGGTCCCCTATCTCCCAGGCTGAGCAGAGGGAGACTTATGGGGAAAGGCAGGAAGAAAAGCTCCCAGGTCCCCTCTGGATGCTGTAATAATCCCAGAGTGTAGGGAAGGACTCAGAAGCCCAAAGGAGTGGTCTCTCTCTCCCTCCCTGCACCCTCCACATCCTGCCAGGCCAGAGACACCTGGCCCAGGCTCAGCTCTGCGCAGGAATGGCCGCCACAGACTCCTGCGGCCGGGGGGAGAGGCATGGCTGGGACCCAGGACAGCGCCCTCGGCGAAACCACTTCAGGTGTGAGCGGTGGCCCTGGCTGGCGGAGCACGAGAATGCCATGAAGTCCGTCCGCATCTACCTGTATCCACTCCCTGGGCGATCCAGGCCATCGCAGGCTTTACACGCTGTCAGGACAGTGACAACACCCAGATTTGTATCAGCAGGGCCCCCGCGTTCCAGATCCATAGCCACCAACCTCCTGCTGGACACCTTCCCCTGGTTGCCTAACAGCCTTCTCAAACTCACCACGAACAGCACAGAACATGGTTCTCCCTTGCCCTCCCCTGCCCCCTCATTTGCCGCCTTGAGGAGGTCACCACCATACATATGGCAGAAGCTCCTCACTGGCCTCCTGCTTCCCCCACCCAGCAGCCAGAGAGAGCTTTAAAATATAAACCAGATCACCCTGTTCTGCTGTTTAAAACCCTCCAGCATCTTCCATTCACAATCGGACTAAAATCCAAATCCCTTCCTAGGTCTAGGAGGCTCCCCATAGTCCGGCTCCTGCTCACCTCTCCGGGCTCATCTCACACCACCCCCTCCTTGTTCTCTTTGCTCCATCCTGATGCACCTTCTGTCTGTTCCTCCAGCAAGGCAGACCCAGTCCCACCTCAGGGGCTCTGCATGCGCAGTCCTTTCTGCCTGGAAAGCTCTTTCTCCCAGAT